CACTCCCACCACCACCCCCACCCCCTCCACTGCCTCCACCACCACCTCCACCGCCCCTGCCAGCCCCTCCAGCGCCCTTGCCCCCCTTGCCCTTGCCGGTGCGCCGTCTCTCGCTCAGGGCAGACGCAGCGCCAACCGACTCGAAACCAACGAGGTCGGCCGCAACACCAGAGGCAACAGAGGGAAAGAGGGGGGAGGGGGAACACCCCTCAAAGACGGGGGTGCGAGGGTCACCACGAGAGGCTCCTACAATGACTATGCTCTTCTCTGCTGCTAGGAGGGCCTTCTCAAGGAGGTCAACGGTGAGAGTGGTGGGGCAAACTAAGAGGAAGTGGTCCCTGACTACGCGGAGAGAGTCAGAGAGCCGGGTGACTATGTAGTAGAGGGTGATGTACATGGGTGGGGGGTTCTTGGCGCAGAACTCAGCAGGAAGCGCAGCGCGGTAGCGAGTGTCACTAGTGCAGAGGTGCGCAATGAGGTCAGCGACTGTGAGAAAGGCAGCAAGGTCAGGGAATACGGTACGGTAGCATGAGGCGGCTAAGTACAACCACAGCGTCGTACAAGGTCTGAGCACTCTTGTACTGGCTAAAGTGTGCACGCTCAGTGGTTGGTAAGTGGCGACGCACAGCAAGGCGAGCAGCAGCATCGCGTGTGGTTCACCGTGAGCGAATAGTGCTGTTAGCTGTAGCAGGCGGGGCAGGAGAGGCACCAAAGGTGAGGTCAAACAGGGAGAGACCGTCTGCCCTATCGTACTGTAGGAAAAGCTGCAGATCACCTACCCAGACCTCAAAGTCAACTGCCAGTCCCTCAGTGTGAAAGGTGAGAACAGTAGGGGTGGCCATGACAGTAGTAGACAGGCAGTGAGTATAGTGGGGCAGGGCAGTGCAGTGGCAGAGGCGCTGCTCTTACTATGCAGGTGAGGCGGTCCCGGGCAGGCCGACAGGCGGCGGCGTCTCGGCTGCAGTGCGGCTCGGCAGCTCGACAGCAAAGGCGGCTCGGCGGCTCAGCGGCACAGTGGCTCGGCAGGTCGTCGGCTCGGCAGCGAAGGCGGCTCGGCGGGGCCGTGAAGGGCGGCGTCGCTGCCACTAAGGAGCGCCAACGGGGCCGCAAAAGGGCGGTGACGGGGCCGCTGAAAGGGCGGCGACAGGGCCGCGGAAAGGGGCGGCGACGGGGCCGCTGAAAGGGCGGCGACAGGGTCGCGGAAGGGCGGCGACGGGGCCGCTGAAAGGGCGGCAACGGGGCCGCGGAAAGGGGCGGCGATGGGGCCGCTGAAAGGGCGGCGACGGGGCCGTGGAAAGGGGCGGCGACGGGGCCGCTGAAAGGGCGGCGACGGGGCCGCCGAAGGGCGGCGATGGGGCCGCCGAAGGGCGGCGACGAGGCTGCTTAAGGGCGGCAACGGGGCCGCTGAAAGAGCGGCGACGGGGCCGCTGGAAGGGGTGGTGACAGGGCCGCTGAAGAGCGGTGACGAGGCCACTGAAGGGCGGCGACGGGGCCGCAGCAAGGAGCGGCGACGGGGCCGCTGAAAGGGCGGCGACAAGGCCGCTGAGAGGGCAGCGACGGGGCCGTTGAAAAAAGGGCGGTAGGTGGGGACGGGGCCGCGAGTGGCCGCTAAGGGGTCGCGAGGGGCCACGAGGGGCCGCGAGGGGCCACGAGGGGCCGTGAGGGCGGTGCGACGGGGCCGCGAGGGCGGCGTGACGGGGCCACTAGGGGTCGTGAGAGAGGCCGCTAGAGGCCACTAAGGGGACTCACACGGGGCGCGACTCGAGCAGGGGCCAAGCGCGCTCCGGGTAGGAAAAAAAAGTTGATATTCGGTGGGCCCTAGGAACAGTTCCCACGAGGGAGCCTGCTCTATACCATGTGAAGATTAGAACGAGAAAATGAGTGCATTGAGCAGAATGAGGAGTACAAGTAGTAACCCCTAAAGTGTTGTACCCCATATGAACTTCCCCACTACAGCCTACACAGACTATAGCATATATGCCTGACAGGCGCTTATAATCCGTAAGCCTTCAGGGGTGCGCTTATAATCGAGGACTGGATATAAGCACCCTCATCCTTTTATAAGCGCCGGCGCTTATCCGAGGCCTGCGCTTCTATCCGGGGGCTTACGGTACTGTTGTTGTTGCATATATACCTCTGCTTGTGAACTGGCCTTGTGGCCCTTTGCTTGTGCTCAGTATGTGTGGTGACGTTGTGATCCACCATGAGCTTGCTTTGCTTCTCTTGACTGGTCTTGTGACCCCTTGCTCTCCCCCATTTTGCCTATGAGGGTGTGTCAAATTATAGGCCTATGTCATAATAAAATGTAGGCTTTAGTGGGGTAGCTAATGTAGGGTATAGTTTTTGTTACTTGTACCCAACTTTCTCGATAGTGCATTCATCTTTCCCTTTACTCTCGACATCCCCCTTGCTACTTCAATTATCTTGTTTGTGCACCATAGTAAAATACCTCTTTTGGCCAATTCCTTCCTGCTCGTGCCTCTTGTAACTCTCGCTGTGGCTAAACCTAATGTCCTTAGTTCTTAGTCCTCAGTTCGCTTTTTAACATGGTGTCAGAACACGTTTCATCTTGGAACCTTCCTGTCCTTTTCAAAAACATGGACCCACTCGTTACGCAGCACGATGCGTCCCGCATGCAGCACGTTTTGCCCGCGCGCAGCCCGTTTTGCTCTGCGTGCAGCTCGTTCTGCCCCACGCGCCGCCCGTCCCGACCGTGCGCAACTTGTCATGTCCGCGTGCAGCTCCGTACGGTCGCGCGCAGCCGCGTATGGTCGCGTGCGCCAACGCCAGCACTAGCGCCTTCAATTAATGCCATCGCTAATGCCAGCACTAGCAGCAGAGTACGCCCCATCACCCCCTCATCTCCCCCCTGCAGGGCTTGTCGCCGTGGGAGGGGGGAGGGTGAGAGCTTGAGTGGGAGGGTGAGGGGGTGGCCGAAGCAAGTCGGGCATCTACAGCCGCTGCCTGTAGCAGGCACGCCCCTAGAGGTGTTGAGCCCTGCTGTCCTGCTGCTCGTTGCAGCCAGAGCCCTTGCTCTCACGCCCACCTACCGGGTCGTGCATCTGTCGTTGCTGCATCTGCCGTGGCTGAGGTTACTGTAGCTCCATCTGCCATCACTGCAACTGCTGCTTGTTCCAAGTAGACCCCCGCAGGTACTGAGCTGTGGTGTCCTGCTGCTAGTTGTAGCTCACGCCACTTGCTCTCCCGCCCACCTGTCGGGTCCTGTACCTGCCGTTGTTGCATTTTTCATGGCCGATATGTGTTGCTGTTTCCCGTGCTTCTTCTAGTCCTCAATGACTTGACAAGCTCATAATGCAAGCAAGTTAAGGGGGTGTGTTATAGTTATATATACCTGTCAGAATCCCAACCACTAGACCATTGGGATAAAAGGGCTTGTTTCAGTAGCGGGTCAGTGCACCCATAACCCCCAAGGCAAACGCGCCTTTAACCCTCTCCAGGATCAGTCGGGCATCCACAGTGCAGATCTACTGACACCCCCCCACACTGGGAGGCCCAGGACTAAGTACAGCGGCAACGACCTACATGCGATACCATGTTAGAATCCCAACCACTAGACCATTGGGATAAAAGGGTTTGTTTCAGTAGCGGGTCAGTGCACCCATAACCCCCTAAGCGAACGCGCCTGTAACCCTCTCCAGGATCAATCGGGCATCCACAGTGCAGATTTACTGACAATACCCTGCTTACTGTTTGTTCTAGTGTATTTACATTGGTGGTGCACCTCCCTTGCTACTTCCATATATCTTGTTTGTGCACCATAGTGAAACACATCTTTTGGCCAATTCCCTCCTACTCGTGCCTCTCGTAACTCTCGCTATGGCTATACCTAATCTCCTTAGTTCTTAGTCCTCAGTTCGCTTTTTAATACTAGGGTTCCTAAAAGTGAATCATAAGGCTTGGTTGCTCCGCAAAAAAAAAAAAAAAAAAAAAAAAAGAAGAAAAGAAAAGAGTAGACATGTTGAACTTATGTGACTTGCAGTTCTTTTTTTTTTTTTTGCTTTGTTTTGTTTTTCTTTTGTTTTCTCCTTTGCTTCAGCCTGAGATCTTAGCTAAATGACGTTGTTCAAGCTAGTGTATTTTTTTTAATCAGGTAGTAAGTGTGATAGGGAAGAATAAACAGTCGGGGATATCTACGCTAAGAAATCAATTGGGGCCTGAAACGTTAAATCATCTAAACCCAAAACCCTGAACCGGTCTGAGGTTACACGAGTTTGTCAATTGCTACAGTGGTTCTTGCGGCAGAGGCGGGGGGTTCACGCAACATCGGTGCTTGGGATCCAGCCTACGGATTGCCCATCTGCCAGAGCGACTCTCGGAGACTTGCTTGCCCTGGAACTCCCACGTTGACTCTCCCAGAGCCTTTCTTGCCAAGCGATTCACGCAGCGATTCCCCCAGACATACTTTTTTTGCGTAAGAGTCCCAGAGCGGCTTTCCCAGAGACGTTATTGCGTAAGAACTCCCACAGCGACTTCTCACCGACACTTTTCTTGCACAAGAACTCCCACAGCGACTTTCTCAGATACTTTTCTTGACTAGGGATTCCCACGCCAGCTGAAAATTCGATGCTATTCGTGAACTCGTTTGCGGACTCTCACAGCGACCTTATTAGTCTTCGAGCATTCACTTTAGCCCCATTGCAACTAATCTATTAGACAAAATGCATGCTGCATCACCAATCGGACGGCTGTCAGACGATCTTCTCTCCGTTGTCTTACGTTTAGTGGGTCAATCCGACGGCCAGTTCCAGCACGCGCTTGTGTGCAAGGAATGGCTTAGAATCACCCATAGCGTGCACGACCATATCCAGATTCGCGAAAAGCGTCGCATGCGTCCCCATGAGCTGCTCGAGCTCCTCTCGTCATTCCCAAGGCTCCGAAAGCTCGTCCTCGCCAACGGCAGCATCACGTCCGTCCCTGACTCCCTCCTTTCGGGGATTGCAGACACGTGTCCAGATCTGACGGGCCTCCATGTCGATAAAATGGATCGACGCTACAGACGCGGGGGGTTCACAGAGAACGGGCTTTCGTATTTCTTTGAGAAATGCACACGGCTGGAGAGACTTCGTCTTGATTGTCAGTCGAATCTGACCGCCATTCCCTCTTCCATCGGCGGCCTTGCGTCACTCAAGAGCCTGCACATCACCGACAGGGAAATTGCTCTCCTTCCAGACGCGTTCACCTCGTTGCATTCACTCACGCATCTCATAATCCAAATGTACGACCTGGATGAACTGCCCCAGGACTTCGGTAACCTGAGGCTGCTCAAGTCGCTGCAGCTGAACAACTGCATGCGGCTCAGCTCCATTCCCGATTCTTTCGGGCAGCTAACCAACTTGACACTTCTTTCCATCAGCGGTTCCAGGGCAAGGCTTCAGCTGCCCGGATCTATCTCGAATCTCTCGTCCCTGCTGACGCTCGAAATTTCCAACTGCCCAGACCTTGCACCGCTGCCCGAGAGTTTTGGAAACATGCCGGCGCTTGAAAAACTACGTTTGGAGGAGGTTGGGGGGTTTACCGACCTGCCCTCCTGTCTCGGGCAGCTGCAGCGGCTGCGGCTCCTTTCAGTAACCTACTGCGGCGATTCAGCATCCTTCCCCACCTCCCTTTCCCATCCGTCTTCCCTGACGGACCACAATCTCGCCGGCCTACCACTCCGTCATCTGCCGGGCGACGTCGGTTTTCTGCCACACCTACATACGCTCAAGCTAGGCGTCGAAAATCTCGCGCATCTGCCTCCCTCCATAACCCTTGCCACTTCACTCAAGAAACTCACACTGGAAAACTCCAGAGCTCTTCAATCTCTGCCCGAGGATTTCGGGCAGCTAACTGTCCTGGAGACACTGCGCTTAGTTAAGCTTCCTCAGCTCAGCAGCCTGCCCGCGTCGCTTGGCAACCTGAAGAACCTCAATGAGCTGATTATAGCCGCATGCAGCCTGCTGACGCAGCTTCCGGACTCCCTGAGTCAGCTATCTTCCCTCGAGCTGCTGCAAATCAATGACTGCTGCAAGCTGAGATCGCTACCGCACGGCATGGGGGATGGCCTGCATAGCCTGCGCAGACTGTATCTACTCGACTGCACGGCTCTCGCCCACCTCCCTCCATCCTTCTTCAGCCTCGCGTCCCTGCGAATCCTAGCAATCTGTGAAGCAACCAGCTTACGAGGCACGCTACCAGGCAGGCTGTCCCACTTGACAAGCCTCAAGGAGCTCTCACTCTCCTCCCTGAATGCCTCCCTCCCTGCCTTCGCCCGCACTCTCACCAGCCTTGTGGTCGCCAGGTCCTCGCGAATCAAGGCGCTGCCAGAGGAGATCGGACGGCTGGGAGACCTTGAAAGGCTCAAGCTCTTACAACTACCTAACCTGAAGTCGCTCCCTCGTTCGCTGTATCAGCTGCAGCGGTTGAAATCTCTGCAAGTGAGTTCCTGCAGCGCGCTGGAGTCGCTGTTTGGGGATGAAGACCAGGGGGGTGCACGCACGGGGGGTGCACGCACGGGAGCCGCTGGGCAAGAGTGTGCGGGAAGAATCGCCCGTCTGGAGCTAGTCGGTCGCACGGGTAGCAGCAGTGCCGCTGGCAGCTGTGGGGGGTCTGAGGAGAGTGGTATGAGTGTGTTGCTGCCATCCCTGGAGGTCCTTGAACTCGCAGAGCTTCCAGTGCAGCAGCTCGGTCCATGGCTGGGATGCCTCCCGTCGCTAACAAGCCTGCAAATCCGCGACATGGATCGCCTCCAATTGCTCCCAGACTCCATCTCTCGCCTCTCTCGCTTGCAGTCATTGACGGTCACCCATGCCAAAAGCCTGCTAGCTCTGCCAGAGACATTAGGGAAGCTCTCAGCACTCACATCCCTCCATTTGAACGGTCTTATGGGCTTAACTGAGCTGCCCAAATCAATCGGGCAGCTGAAGAAGCTTCAGTCTTTTCAGATCCGAAACAGCCGAGGACTAACCAGGCTTCCCGAGTCCTTCCCTGACCTCTGCGGACTGCAGCGGTGTGGTTTGTGCACTATCGGAATCTCGAGCATTCCTCATGACTTCTGGAAGCTCTCTTCTCTCGTGAGCCTCTCTTTGCTGTTCCTGCCCAATGTCCGCAGCCTGCCCAATAAGTTTTCGCAGCTGCCCGGATTTGAGGACTTGTACCTGTACGGATGCAATCGGCTGGCCCGGTTACCCAGGGGGCTGCAGCAGATGGGGAAGCTGCAGACGTGCTATGTGAGTGACTGCCCGGTGGTGGGGAATGAACGGAGGATGGTTTACAACCTGGACGAGGGAGAGCGTGCTGTGGGTGCCTCAGAGGGACGGGATGATTCGGAGCCAGAAGATGGGAAGGACGAGGATGAGGAAGGGGATGGGGAGGAAGAGGATGGGGAGGAAGAGGATGGGGAGGAAGAGGATGGGGAGGAAGAGAATGGGAAGGAAGATGGGGAGAAAGTGGATGGGGTGGAAGAGGATGGGAGAAAGAGGATGGGGAGGAAGAGGATGGGGAGGAAGAGGATGGGGAGGGAAGAGAATGGGAAGGAAGAGGATGGGGAGGAAGGGGATGGTAGAAAGAGGATGGGGAGAAAGAGGATAGGGAGGAAGAGGATGGGGAGGAAGAAGATGGGGAGGAAGAGGATGGAGAGGGAAGAGGATGGGGAGGAAGAGGATGGGAGGAAGAGGATGGGGAGGAAGAGGATGGGGAGGAAGGGGACGGGGAGGAGGAGGAGGATGGGGAGAAAGAGGACGTGGGAGAAAGGGGATGAGGAAAAAGGGTATGGGGAGGAGGAGGATAGGGAGGAAGAGGATGAAGAGGAAGTGGGGACAGAGGAGGAGGATGAGTGGAGTGAAGGGGAGGGAAGAGAGGATAGCGAAGGGGAGGGGAGTGAATGGTAGGGGAGTCAGGGAAAAGAGAGAGGAGGTGAAGTGAACTGGAGATAAGTGTAAAAAAATACATGTGCTATTTTTTTGTAGGCTATAGTGGGGTAGCCTGTATGGAGTACAACCCAATGTTAGTGTGAGTACTTGTGCCCACAATTCTTTTAATGCAGTCATTCCAACTTCTCATTCTGACATGGTTCAGAGCAGTAGGTTCGTAGGACCGTTTGTTCTTTTTTTTTTTCCCCGGACCCACCATTCCGATTGCGGTTACCGCCTTACCCCACTGCCCTGCAAGGCCTGCCCTGCCCGTTGCGCTCCCTGCACAGCTGCCTAGCGCGCGATCCGCTTGCGCTGCCCTGCTAGCGCGCTTCCTCAGGCCTACGCGCGCCCTGCCTGCTAGCTGCCTGCGCTGCCTGTGCGCTGCTGCTGCTGCTGCTGCTGCTGCTGCTGCTGCCCGCGCGCTGCATTTCCTGCCCGTGCGCGGCCTGCCTTGCTCGCGCGCTGCCTGCACAGCCGGCGCCCTGCCCGCGCACTGCACGCCCTGCTCGCACGCTGCTCGCGTGCCGCTGGCGTCGCCTGCGCGCTGCCCGTAAGGCCCACCCTGCCCGCGATCTGCCTGCACAGTTAGCGCGTGGCCCTAAGAGCCCTGCCCGCGCTGCCCTGCGCCCTGTTCGCCCTGCCAGCGCTGCAGCCACTGCTACGCTGCTGCTACTGCCAGCGCCGCACTGCCCCACCGTGTCCGAGCCGCGCTGCACCGCCCAAGCCGCGCTGCAATGCCCGAGCCGCGCTGCACCGCCCGAGCCGCACTGCACCACCGCCCGAGTCGCGCCGCCCTGCTGAGCCGCGCCGTGCTGCCTAGTTGCCTGGCAGACCAGTTTCTACTACTGCACTGCTGCTTCTACTATTGCTGCTGCTAGTGCTACTACTGCTTGCCTGCAATCGGTCTGCCCTGCTAGTCCTGCGCCAGCAGCTATGGCCACCCTCCGCGTTCTGTCGTTCGATACCGAGGGCCGCCTGATTCAGTTTGAGACCTGGCTCGATACCCTGCAGCTGTTCCTAATGAGCGATAGCAAGGATAATGTCTCTCTCTTTGACCGCACGTCGTGTGCCTCAGTCGCTCCTACTGCCACAAGTGAGCTTAGCGTCCGTTCCTAGTGGCAGACTCGTGACGCTGCAGCTCGCCTAGCCGTTCGCAACCACCTGCCGTTAACCGAGCTCACACATTTTGGCGAACCCAAAACCGCTAAGGCCGTGTACGACACTGTAGTTACTCGATAATCCTCCCCTGCCAGTGCTGCACTGAGCCGCCTCATGCTGCCCTACCTGTTTTCTGAGCTGTCCACCTTTGCCACAGTTGCCGATCTTACCACCCACCTTCGCACTAGTGACACTCGCCTTCGTGCCGCCCTCCCCAAAGAGTTCTTAGCTAAGAACCCGCCTCCGATGTACTGGACCCTCCACTTCATAGTGACCCGTCTCCCTGACTCTCTTCGTTCGGTCAAGGACCACTTTTTCGCTCTGTGAGGATCTAGGATCGAGCTCAGAAAAGTGGGTTTGAATTGAATGAATCACCACAAGACTATGTATAGGCTCGACACAAGGCCTAGTAACCAGGTGTTACGCGAAGGTTCTGAGGCTCGCAAAACGTCCCGAACAGACCCTTTTCGAATTCGGTAGAAGGCGATTCGGTGGCAACCGAAAAGCCCAGAATTCGGTGCACACAACCTAGCTCGGTGCTATAACTATAATAAAATATAGAAGAGCACCTAACCTAGGAAATCAAACAATTCATGCATGCATAAAATAATCCTATGCTAGAAATAGCATAATAAAGTAAAGGCAAGGAAGCATAGTTGGCAGAAGCCGTCGTACTCTCACACGCTCACTCTCCCACCGATCTCACTGTCGACCTCCTAGAGGAGCACCTTCTAGCTGCCGAGACTAGCATAGTCACTGTAGGTGCTGCTCGTGGCGCTCCTCGCACCCCCATCTTTGAGGGGTGCTCTCCCTCTCCCCTTGCCCCCTCCTAAGCTACTGCCGCTGCTGTTGACTACCTTGGTGCTGAATCTGTTGGTGCTGCTTCTGCTCCTAGTGGGAGGCGCCACAGTGGCAAGGGCAAGGGAGCCACGGGCAGCGGAGGTGGCATCGGGGGGGGGGGGGGGGGGGGGTGGTGGAGGAGGTGGAGGAGGAGGTGGCGGAGCGAATGGTGGCGGGAGTGTTTGCGGGAGTGGTGGCGTCGGTGGCGGCGGTGGGAGTGGCGGTGAAGGTGGTGGCGGCGGAGGGGGTGGCGGCAGCAGTGGCGGCGGCGGTGTCGGTCGGGGTGGCGGTGGCGGTCGGGGCGGAGGCGCTGGCGCTGGCCAGAGACAGCAACAGCAGCAGCGTCCCCGTGAGGCCCTTACGCCGCAGCACCTTCGTGAGTGGCTTGCTTAGCGCGGGACGTCTAGGGGTAGTAGTCACTACCCGTATTTCATTCGCACAGGTGACCGCACTGGTCAGACATGCGGGAAGTTCCATACCTAGCACCGCTGCTTCTCCCGCCTTGACGACGCCTGGCGTGAGGAGATGGGCAAGGAGGTCGAGCGCCCTTGCTGCGTGAGCTGCTTAAGGCTGGTGTAGACATCTTTGCTCTTGACTATGATGCTATCCTTGATGCCATGTATGCATTGACTGTTAGTGCTGAGGGAGACTGTTACTTGTGTGTGTCGCCTGGCCCAGATATAGAGGCTGCTGCCTTAGGTGCGAGCAAGTCTGCTCTCTCAAGTACTGCGCCTGCTGAGACCTTGCACACCTTCACACTTGACTCAGGTGCTTCCCGCTGTTTCTTTCGTGACAGTACTGCACTCACACCACTCACTGCACCTGTTACAATCTCTCTGGCTGACCCCTTAGGGGGGCCAGTTTTTGCATGGTCCACCACTGTGCTCCTGTGCCTGGCGGTTCCGTTTGGCTCACTGACAGGCCTCCACCTTCCCTCGTTCTCTACGAACTTGGTGAGCAATGCAGTTCTCAAAGAGCAGTGGGTTGCCACCTTTACCCCTGGAGGACAGCGTGTGGCAATCTGTACATGCTCCCGGACTGGCCGCCACTTGGCCACGTTTACCCGTTGGCCAGGGTCGAGTCTTTACACACGGTCGATTGCGCCTCCTCAGGTAGCTGCTACTGGTCAGGTGTCTGCGTCAGGTTAGGTAGCCTCCCCTTGTTCATGTCGCTCCCTGTCGCACCAGACTCTTCTCTGGCACCACCGTCTGGGTCACCCCTCCTTGCCACGTCTACGTGGCATGCACCGTCGCCTTCTTGTATCTGGTTTTCCGAGGTCTCTCCCTCCCCTCCATCCCTCGCCAGCGACGCCCTGCCTTCCTTGCGTCGAGGGGCGGCAGCGCGCCGCTCCTCACTCCTTCTCGTTTCCCCCAACGGACGCTCCACTGCAGACCCTCCACATGGACGTGTGGGGCCCAGCCCGCGTTCATGGACAGGGCGGCGCGCGGTACTTTCTGCTGGTTGTCGACGACTACTCGCGTTACACCACAGTCTTCCCCTTGCGCACCAAGGGTGAGGTCCCTGATGTCCTGATCCCTTGGATCCGAGCACTTCGTCTCCAGCTCCGCGAGCGCTTTTGCCAGGACCTCCGTGTCCTGCGTCTGCACTCTGACAGAGGTGATGAGTTCTCCTCCGACCTCTTACGGGCCTTCTATCAAGGGGAGGGCATCCTAGAGTCGTTCACGCTTCCGGCCTCACCGCAAAAAAATGTGGTTGCTGAGCGCCGCATTGGCTTGGTCATGGAGATTGCTCGTACCTCCTTGATCCATGCGGTAGCTCCCCATTTTTGGTGGTCGTTTGCGGTCCGGTACGCCGCGCAGCAGCTCAACCTCTGGCCCCGTCTCTCCTTGCCGGAGACCTTGCCCACATTGCGTTGGACGGGAGAGGTTGGCGATGCGTCGGTGTTCCGGGTCTGGGGTGCTCGTGCCCTTGTCCGTGATATGTCCGCGGACAAGCTCTCCTCTCGCACCATTCCCTACGTCTTCCTCGGCTTCCCCCGTGACGCGCCTGGCTGGCAGTTTTGCCACCCCACCTCGCGTAATGTTCTGTCATCTCAGGACGTCACCTTTGACGAGACGGTTCCTTTCTACCGTCTCTTCCCCTACCGCACTGCCCTGCTCCCTCCCTCGCCGCTTTTCCTCGCTCCAGGTCCCCCTCCAGTAGACCCCCTCCCTCCTCAAGGTCCTGCTCCTTCAGGTGTGTCTCAGGTAGACCCACTCCCCTTGGCTGAGCCTGTGGAGGTCACTAGCGACTCAGGTGATGGTGCGGGTGGTGCTGCTCGGGGTGCTGCGTCTAGGGGTGCTGAGCCTGTGCGTGAGGTACTGGGGGGTGCTGCATCTGGGGGTGCTGCGCCCGTGCGTGAGGTGCTGGGGGGTGCTGAGCCTACAAGTGCAGAGCCTGGGGGTGCTGAGCCTACAAGTGCAGAGCTTGGGGGTGCTGAGTCTGCTGGTGTTTCTCCGGGTCGCTTTTCACGACGGGGGCCTCTCTCACCACAGCAGTTACGAGAGTGGCTTGCATGGCATGCCCGTCTGAGGAGTCGTACTGCTGGAGCTAGAGGTCTTGCTGCTGGAGGTACTGCTGCTTGAGGTGCTACGGTTGGAGCTCCTAGAGTTGCTCGTCGTGGAGGCCCTGAGGGTGCTGGTGTTTCTGGTTCTGGAGGTGCTCGTACTGGAGGTATTGGAGCTGGCTGGAGCTGGAGGTGCTAGTTCTGGGGGTGCTACTACTAGAGGCACTGGAACTGGTGCTGTCGACCCTGGAGTAGAGACCCTAGAGCTGGAGGTGCCGGTGCTGGAGGCACTGGAGCTGGAGACCCTGGAGCTGGAGGTGCTGGAGCTGGAGGTGCTAGAGTTGAAGGTGCTGGAGCTAGAGACCCTGGAGCTGGAGGTGCTGGAGCTGGAGGCACTAGAGCTGGAGGCGCTGGAGCTGGAGGCTCTGGCGCTGGAGGCGTCGGGAATGGTGGCCCTAGAGCTGGAGCTGCTGGTCTTGGAGGTGCTAGTCCTGAAGGTGATGGACCTGCCCGAGCTGGAGGCACTGTGGGCGCTGGAGCTAGAGGCGCTGGCGCTGGAGGTGCTGGAGCTGGAGGCGCTGGCGCTGGAGGTTCTGGAGCTGCTGGTCCGGGAGGTGCTAGTACTAGAGGTACAGCTGCTGCCCGAGCTGGTGGTGCGGCTGGTGCTGGAGGTGCTGGTGGTACTGCACAGCAGCGAATGTTCTTCTCTTTGCCGTCACCTTCGTCTCTGCCACCGCCTGATTTCGCGCTTTGCCAGGTTCTTAGCCTCTCGTCTTCTACTAGCCTCCCGTTACAGCCAGGCTCTTCGCTCCCTGCTCCTTCTTCTTACACTGAGCTGATAAAATCGCTTACAGAGCGTTGTGAACCTGTGTCTCGTCTTGCCTCGCCTGTTCGCGCTGGTTGCACTGGTCGTCGTGTTCCTCGTGAGCGTCCTCCTCCTGTCCCCAGCACGCATACTATGGCACTTCGTCCTTCCTGTGTTCCACAGCGTGTTCCCCTACCGTCTCCTCCTGCGTCCTCTCTTTCGCACGTTCCGGACCCTGAGTCGGACTTAGCTTGTACTAACAGCTCTACTGTCACCCGTCTCTTCGCCACTGTTGTCACTGACTCTTCGTTTGAGTCTGCTGCTGCGTCTGCCCTAGTTGCCGAGCTTATCGACTTTGCTGCTCGCTTTCGTCTAGACTACGCAACTAGTCTTGTTGCTGATTCTGCGTCTGTCTGTCCTCCGTCCGTCAGGGGTGAGTGTGCTCTTGGCACGGACGTCCTTGAGGACAGGAAGGAGGACTTTGAGTGTTTTGCAGCTGCTGTACCTCATCTCATGTCTATGCTGATTGCACATGAAGGAGACCTGGATGCACCAGACATCCTGACCCCGCGCTCTTACGCAGAGGCAATTAAGGGTCCCTACTCCTCTCAGTGGCAGTCAGACATGGTCGCAGAGATGGCTTCCTGGAAGTCCACAGGCACTTATGTCGCCGCTGTTCCCCCACATGGGGCGAACATTGTCAGTGGCATGTGGATTTTCAGGGTGAAGCAGTCGCCGGTTTCTCCGCCTGTCTTCAATGCGCGTTATGTTATCCAAGGCTTCAGTCAGAGACAGGGAGTTGACTTCTTCCAGACCTTCTCCCATACCCCAAAGATGACCAGTCTTCGGGTTCTGCTGCACGTCGCCGTTCAGCGTGACTACAAGCTTCACTCTCTTGACTTCAGCACTGCTTTCTTGCAGGGCAGCCTGCACGATGAGAGCTGGCTGTGCTGCCCACCTAGCTTCATTGGGTCATTTCCTGCAGGTACTTAGTGGAGCCTCCGGCGGCCAGCCTACGGTCTCCGTCAGGCGCCTTGTAAGTGGCATGACACACTGAGGACGACGCTTGCGGCTCTTGGGTTCACTCCTTCGACTGGTGACCCGTCGCTGTTTCTACGCACCGACACCTCTCTGCCGCCGTTCTACATCCTCGTGTACGTCGATGACTTGGTCTTTGCCATTGCTCACAGTGAGGGACTCGCCCAGGTGAAGTCGGAGCTGCAAAAGAGACACACGTGCACAGACCTAGGAGAGCTGCGCAACTATCTTGGCTTGCAGATCACCCGGGACAGAGCACGGCACACCATTACCCTGACTCAGTCACACATGGTGCAGCAGGTCCTTCAGCGCTTCCGCTTCACGTACTCCTCGACATAGTCTACCCCTCTGCCTACCGGTCACTTGCTCTCAGCTCTGCCTTCGGATGAGTCCGTAGAGCCGAGTGGCCCGTATCCAGAGCTTGTGGGCTGCTCTCAGAACATTATAGCTTATACATTTGTGTAGGCTGTAGTGGGGTAGCCCACAAGGGGTACAACCCAATTAGAGTTAGTAATTGTACCCAAGTGTTTCATAGTTCATTCATCCATTCTCCCTTCTCGTCATGGTATCGAGCAGGTTCCCGAGTGGGAATACTGCCTAAGGCCCACCACGAATTTTTTTTCCTTCCCTGCCTGAACCGCGCTTAGCTCCTAACCCGAGTAGCGCCTTGAGTTGCCCTTAGTGGCCCCCGTTGGCCGCCCTTACGGCCCCTTGCGCAGCCTTCTACGGCCCCTTACGGCCTCGTCTGGCCCCTTACGACCCCGTCGTGGCCCCGCTTAGGCCCCTTAAGGCCCCGTCGCGGCCCCGCTTAGGCCCCTCACGGCCCCGTCGCGGCCCCGCTTAGGCCCCTTACGGCCCCGTAGCGGCCCCGCTTGGCCCCTTACGGCCTCGTCGCAGCCCCGCTTAGGCCCCTTACGGCCCCGTCGCGGCCTCGCCTAGGCCCCACCGCGGCCCCTTCTGGTCCCTTACGGCCCCACTTCGGCCCCTTCCGGCCCCGTCGCGGCCTCGCCTAGGCCCTTCCGCGGCCCCGCCTGGCCCCTTACGGCCTCGCTTAGGCCCCCTCCGCGGCCCCGTTTGGCCCCTTCTGGCCCCGCTACGGCCTCGTATAGGCCCCTTCGCGGCCTCGTCTGGCCCCGCTACAGCCCATTCTGGCCCCGCTACGGCCCCGCTACAGCCCCGTCTGGCCCTGCTACGGCCCCCCCTCTAGCCTCGCTACGGCCCCGTCTGTCCCCCCCTTACGGCCCCGTCACCACCTGCGGCCCCGTCGCCACCTGCGGCCCCGACGCCACCTGCGGCCTCGTCGCCACCTACGGCCCCGCCGCCACCTACGGCCCCGTCGCCACCTGCGGCCCCGCCGCCACTTGCGTCCCCGCCGCCCAGCGCCCGCACCGCCAAGCAGCTGAACCGCCGGCCAGCCGAGCCACCCGACCGCCGAGCCGCCCAGCAGCCGAGCCGCCTAGCAGCCGAGCCGCCCGACCGCCGAGCCGCCCAGCACCAAGCAACCGAGCCGCCCGACCTCCGAGTCGCCGAGCAACCGAGCCGCCCGACCTCCGAGCCGCCCGACTGCCCCACTTGCCAGATAAGAGCATAGTCTCTGCCACTGCACTGCCCTCCCCCACTGTCCTCGCTGGCTGCCTACTACTGTTATGGCCTCCCCTAGCTTTCTCACCTTTGACGCTGAGGGTAGGGCAGTGGACTTTGAGGTCTGGGTAGATGATCTGCAGCCTTTCCTGCAATGCGATAGGGCAGACAGCCTCTCCCTGTTTGACCTCACTTCTGGTGCCTCCCCTGCCCCTGCTGCTGATGCTGACGCCACTGTTTGCTCACAGTGGGCCACGAACGATGCTGCTGCTTGCCTTGCTGTGCGCCGCCACTTATCGACCACTGAGCGTGCACACTTTAGCCAGTCCAAGAGTGCTCAGACCTTGTACGACGCTGTAGTTGCACGCTACTCTTCCCCTGCCACTGCTGCACTAAGCCGCCTTATGCTACCGTACCTCTTCCCTGACATTGCTGCCTTTCTCACAGTCGCTGACCTCATTACTCACCTCCGCACTAGTGACACTCGCTACCGCGCTGCGCTTCCTGCTGAGTTCTGCGCCAAGAACCCCCCACCCATGTACATCACCCTCTACTAAATAGTCACCCGGCTCCCTGACTCTCTCCGCGTAGTCACGGACCACTTCCTCTCAATTTGCCCCACCACTCTCACCGTTGACCTCCTCGAGAAGGCCCTCCTAGCGATAAAGAAGAGCAAAGTCGCTGTAGGAGCCTCTCGTGGTGACCCTCGCACCCCTGTCTTTGAGGGGTGTTCTCCCTCCCCCCTCTTACCCTCTGTTGCCTCTACTGCTGCGGCCGACCTCGTTGGTTTCGAGTCGGTCGGCACTGCGCCTGCCCCAAGCGGGAGACGCCGCACCGGCAAGGGCAAGGGGGGCAAGGGCGTTGGAGGGGCTGGAGGGGGTGGTGGAGGTGGTAGTGGAGGCAGTGGAGGGAGTGGGGGCGGAGGTGGGCGTGGTGCTGGGGGTGGCGGCGGCGGCGGCAATAGTGGAGGCGGCGGAGGCAGTGGAGGTGGCGGAGGGAGCGGAGTCGGCGGAGGTAGTGGAGGAGGCGGAGGTGGAGGAGGCGGCGAAGGCGGAGTAGGCGGCGGCGGCGGCGGCGGAGGCGGCGGTGGTGGAGTGAGTCGCGACTCTGCGCATAGGAGTGGCGCTGGTGGTGGTCAGCGCCAGCAGCAGCAGCGGAGTGGTGTGACCCTGTCCCCTCAGCAGCTTCGTGAGTGGTACACTGTGAGAAGAGTTGAGCATGAATGAATGAGCTCTCAATGAAGTGAGTACAAGTGCTAACCCTAATTGGGTTGTACCCCTTATGGGCTACCCCACTATAGCCTACACAATATGCAAAAGCTATGTGTTCTGACACACCCCCATAGGCAAAGTGGGGGAGAACAAGGGGTCACAAGACCAGTCAAGCAAAGTCACCACACAGTCCGAGCACAAAGTCAAGGCCACAAGGCCAGTTCACATGCAGGAGTGCACATATATATATAACACAAAACAAGCAAGAGCAGGTATATATATATATGCAAGAGTACAAGTAAGATCAAGAGGTGAGCAAGGGAGGTAAGACAGGTACAAGTCCGAGCTGAGTGCAGAAGCGCTGATGATCACAAGGCGGAAGTGCCTTGGTGAAAACATCAGCAATGTTGGCCTCAGAGGCCACGTACGCAAGTCGCAACTGACCACGCTGCTGCAGCTCACGAGCAAGAAAGTAGCGGAGAGCAATGTGCTTCGTTCCGTGCTCCAGGCGCTGCCCTCAACACAAGGCCAGCATGGCCTTGCTGTCTACGTACAACACTGGAGGAGAACGAGGGGGCTCTCCAAGGTCAGTCAGCAGGTAGGTGAGCCAGCGAAGCTCCTGAGCAGCCATGGCCCCGGCGTAGATCTCAGCCTCACAACTGGAGCCGAGAACAGAAGACAAGCGAGTAGCCCGCCACGAAACAGAGCTGGAGCCAAGACTGAAGGTGTAACCCTGTGACGTCCGCTGCGTAGCCTGGTCGTCAGCCCAAGAAGCGTCCACGTGCCCAGTGAGGACAACTGGACTCCGCCCTCCAAGCACTAGCCCCATGCCCGACGTACTGCACAGGTAGCGCAACACCCTCTTCGCTGCAGCCATGTGCTCTGGTCGGTGTCTCCCAGGAGCAACATAGCGTGCAAGAATGCTAAGAGGGTATGCAAGGTCAGGTCGTGTGCAGGTCATCAGGTACATGAGGCAGCCAACAAGCTCTGGGTACGGGCCACTCGACTCTACGGACTCATCCGAAGGCAGAGCTGAGAGCGAGTGGCGAGTAGACAGAGGAGTGGCCTGAGGCGAGGAGTACGTGAAGCCAAAGCGCTGAAGGACCTGCTGCACCATGTGTGACTGAGTCAAGGTAATGGTGCGGCATGCTCTGTCCCGAGTGATCTGCAAGCCAAGGTAGCTGCGCAGTTCACCCAGGTCTGTGCATGTGGGTCTCTTCTGCAGCTCGGACTTCACGTAGGCGAGTCCAGCAGTGTCAGCTGTGGCAAAGACCAAGTCGTCGACGTACACGGGGATGTAGAACGGCGGCAGAGAAGTGTTGGTGTGCAGAAACAACGACGGGTCAGCAGTAGAGGGAGCAAACCCAAGAGCCGCAAGCGTAGTCCTCAGTGTGTCGTGCCACTCACGCAGTGCCTGGCGGAGATTGTAGACTGGCCGTCGGAGGCTCCACTGGGTGCCAGGAGGGAAAATCCCAGTGAAGCCAAGTGGACGGCGCAGCCAAATCTCCTCGTGCAGGCTATCCTGCAAGAAAGCAGTGCTGAAGTCAAGAGAGTGGAGCTCGTAGTCGCGCTGAGCGCCTATGTGCAGCAGCATCCGAAGAGTGGTCATCTTCGGGGTGGGAGAGAAGGTCTGAAAGTAGTCAACACCCTGCCGCTGACTGAAGCCACGAGCCACGTACCGCGCCTTGAAGACAGGTGGAGAGCCCGGCGGCCGCTTCACCTCGAAGATCCACTTGCCACTGATGATGTTCACCCCAGGAGGGGGAACCGCGTCAACGTAGGTGCCTGTGGATTTCCAGGAAGCCATCTCTGCATCCATAGCTGCCTGCCACTGAGAGGAGTAGGGACCCTCTACGGCCTCCGCGTAAGAGCGCGGAGTCGGGATGTCTAGTGCATCCGGGTCTCCCTCAGGGGTAAGCAGTACGGACACGAGATGAGGTGAAGCAGCAGCTAGACACTAGAACTCCTCCTGCCTGTCCTCAAGGACGTCCGTGCCAAGAGCACATTCACCCCCGACGAACGGAAGACAGACAGACGCAGACTCAGCAACAAGACTAGCAGCGTAGTCCAGATGACAGCGAGCAGCAGAGTCAACGAGCTCAGCAACAAGAGCAGACGCAGCAGTGGACTCAAAAGAGGGGTCAGTAACAACAGTAGCAAGGAGACGCGTGACAGTAGGACTGGCAGCACGAATGGAGTCCGACTCCGGGTCGGCAAGCGCAGGAAGAGAGGTCTCAGGTGGAGAAGGCAAAGGGGCACGTAGAGGAGCAGTGGACGGACGCAAAGACATCCGGTGCGTGCCAGGGACAGGAGGAGGACGCTGACGCGAACCACGACCACTAGCGCGAGCAGTACGAACAGGCGACGCGGGACGAGACGCACGCTCACGACGCTCAGCAAGACCTCCAGTGGGATCAGTGTAAGGAGAGGGTGCAGGTAGTGGGGAGGCGGGCTCTAACTGTGACTGTGACTGGACAGGCAGTGGACACTCTACAGGAGGAGAAAGACCAAGAACTTGCTGCAGGAGCGGAACGAAGTACGGCCGAGGCCGCGCGGCGGCTCCAGACACAGCAGGGACAGCACTAGCACCCTCCGCACCTCCGGCACCACCAGCGCCAAGAGCACCTCCAGTGGCAGGACCTCCAGCAGCACCAGCTGCACCCGCAACAGGACCACTGCCAGGACGGACAGTAGTAGTCGCAGAACCAACACCCTCAGCAGCTCCAGCTCCAGGCGGACCCGCAGGCCCAGCAGCTCCGGGACTGGCGGCACCAGTACCCTCAGCGGCCGAAGAAGCTCCAGCTCCAGTAGTACGCCTCCAGCGGCGAGCAAACCACTCGCGCAGCTCCTGTGGAGAGAGCGGCTCCCGCCGAGACAAAGCACCAGGAGAACCTCCAGGCCCAGCTCCGCCAGACACCACAAGGAGAGGTCCAGCGGCCGCAGGCTCTCCACCTCCAGGCTCAGCAGCTCCAGACGCAACACCGCCAGGCTTAGCACCCCCAGTCTCAGTACCCCCAGGCTCAGCACCCCCAGGCTCAGCACTCCCAGGCTCAGCACCCCCAGGCTCAGCACCCCCAGTCGCAGCACCCCCAGGCGCAGTCCCCCATACTCAGCACCCCCAGGCTCAGTACCCACGTGCGCAGCACCCCCAGAGTCAGCACACCCAGGCTCAGCACCCGCAGCGGGACCAGAGTCACCAGTAACCTCGACCGGCTCGACTGCGTCTACCTGGGACACACCTGAAGGGGCAGGACCCTGAGGGGGGAGGGGGTCTACCGGGGAGGGACCTGGCACAAGAAAGTGCGGTGGCGCGGGGAGGGAAGGAGTGCGGTAGGGGAAGAGGCGGTAGAAGGGGACTGACTCGTCGAACGTGACGTCCTGGGAGGACAGAACACGACGAGAGGAGGGGTGGTAGAACTGCCACCCTGGTGCGTCAGGGGGGAAGCCAAGGAAGACACAGGGAGCAGCACGAGGGGACAGCTTGTCCGCAGACGCATCGCTGACCTTCCCCGTCCACCTCCTCCGCCACCGCCGCCTCCACCCCTGCCACCGCCACCGCCTCCGCTCCCACCGCTACCGCCTCCGCCGCCTCCGCCTCCGCTGCCGCCACCACCACCACCACCTCCGCCACCACTCCCACCGCCACCCCCACTCCCTCCGCCGCCTCCACTGCCACCTCCACCGCCCCCTCCAGTCCCACCCGCGCCCTTGCCCCCCTTGCCCTTGCTAGAGCGGCGTCTCCCGCTAGGGGCAGACGCCGCACCGACCGACTCAAGACCAAGAAGGTCGGCCGCAGCAGCAGAGGCAAGAGAGGGCAACAGGGGGGAAGGGGAACACCCCTCAAAGATGGAGGTGCGAGGGTCACCACGAGAGGCTCCTACAGCGACTATGCTCTTTTCCGCTGCTAGGAGGGCCTTTCCGACAGTAGGGCGGCTATGTGTTCTAACACACTGCGTGTCAGCGTGGTGGGGGTTTTGGTCCCTTCTCTTACGTCCTCCGTACCGGCAACCGCGCTGGTGAGCAGTGGGGAAGCCCGCACTCCACCCAGCGCTGCTTTGGTCGCCTGACGGACGCGTGGCGTCGCCAGTTCCCTGAGGCGTCACAAATCCCTCGCTCGGGAGATCTAGCAAAGGCCGGGGTTGCTATCTTTGATCTTGACTTTGATGCTATCCTTGCTGCCATATATGCTGTTGATACTAGTGTTGTTGGTGACTGTTACCTGTGTGTACCGTGTGACCCGGGCATTGAGGCTGCTGCTCTAGGTGCTGGTGAGGCTGCTGCTCTAGGTACTAGTGCGTCTACTGCCCTAGGAGCCAGTGCGTCTGCTGCCCCACGTGCTGGTGAGTCTGCTCTCTTAGGTATTACGTCGGCTCAGGCCTTCCACACCTTCACCCTGGACTCGGGTACGTCCCGCTCCTTCTTTCGAGACTGCACCACTCTTACGCCGCTTAGTCGGCCGGTTGCAGTCTCCCTGGCAGACCCCTCTGGGGGTCCTGTCCTTGCTAGCTTCTCCACTGTCATTCCGTGCCTAGCAGCCCCCTCTAGCATCCTGTCTAGTCTCTACCTCCCCTCGTTCTCTACAAACTTGGTGAGTGGAGCGGACCTACAGGATCGAGGCGTTGACCAGTTCACTCCTGCGAGTCAGCGAGTGACCCACTGCACATGAGCTCGGATAGGCCGACACTTGGCCACGTTCACCGGTCGACCAGGGTCGAGTCTGTACACCCTTATTATTGAGTCTCCTCCTGCTGCTGAGTCTGGCCAGGTAGCTGCGTCAAGTCAGGTGTTTGCTGCGGCGTCCAGGTCTGGTCCTGAGTCTGCCCCCTGCTCGTGTCGTCTCCTGTCCCACCAGATTCTCCTTAGGCACCACCGCCTTGGCCACCCCTCCTTGCCTCGTCTCCGAG